ATTTGGCATGTCCCCATTTGGGGGTCTTGCACATTTTGTCTTGGGATGTGGGTTTCTTTTTATTAACTCTATGGAGTATTGTCTATTATTTCCCCTCTAGAGAAGCTCATTTTCTCTCTTGAATATGTTTCTTTCCCTCTCTTTCTCTTCCTCTCCCTCTCTCCTCATATTTCATAAATAAAACTGTTTTACTAAGAAAAGAAAAACACAAGGAAAGTAAATCTTAGATGAAAGAAAAATTGGGACATTCATTTCATCTCAAATTATATAAGCGTGCTAGCTCTGAAACCAACCTGAGCTATGTGACCTTATGTAAAATTTTCACTCCCTGTTAAAAGTAGGTGAAGGGGTATTCTTGATAACTTTTCAGTATCAATATTGGAAACCACAATGTCCAAAAGGAGAGAGATAGAGAGACACAGAGAGAGAGAGGGAGAAGGAAAGCACCTGTCATAGGTCATAGAGGCAGGTGGGGATGGGAGGTGGGTAGTTATGGGAAGAAACGTAGGTACATGGTGCTGGGAAATGTACACTGGTGGAGGGATGGGTGTTGGAATACTGTATGACTGAAATCTGATCGTGAACAGCTTTGTAAGGGTCTATCTCACAGTGATTCAATAATTTTTTCACTCTCTGATGGTCATTGTACTGCATAGTAGCACAACGACTGTTTCCACTTGTAAACAGTTAAGTGTAAGTATGTGCTCAACATATGGTCAGTATGTGTTGGCAGCATTACAGTCATTGTTGTTATTAAAACTTAGAAGGACATAGGACATAGCACTTTTTACCAATAAGGGGACTTCAAGGAATAATTGATTATCTACCGTGCCACCAAAAAAAAAAGTGTAGGGTGAAAGTGTAGGATGGAGGATATGGCTTCACAGCCTAAGTAAAGAATCGGTCCAAGCTAGATTTTATATATATATATATACATATATATACATATATATATAATATATATTTTGGACCAAGCTTGTATTATAGTTTGAAGATTCAGAGACCTGTAAAACTCTCAGAGTCTTCTAAGGAAACTGCTGTTAGATCTTCCTGCGGTTTCAAGTACCGGTTCCTCATTTTCACTTTCATCTGTAAGTTGAGATTGATTTTCCCAAGGTAGTGGCAACACTATTGTGTCCTTCAGCTCCATTTGTGTCTGAGTATGGATTTCATGCCTTTAGTAGTAACTTTTATTGCCTTCTAAGATCTACCCTCCCCTCCTTCTTCAGCTTTTATACTTGTTCCTCAGCATTGTGCTAAGTACTAGAGACACCCAGGGCTCCCTTGTTCTCCAGACTTGCTCTGATTCTACCTGAAATGTTATTTTTGTGTGTGTTATTTTGTTATGTGACTTTTGGCAGAAGTAGAGGATTGAGAGCCACACCCAGCTGAGATCAGGACTTACTCCTTGCTTCACACCCTGAGATCATTCTTGTTGGCATTCAGGGAACTATATGAATGCCAGGGATTCAACTGGGGTTGTGGTGTAAAATGCAAATACCTTAAACCCTATACTATCTTTATCCCACTCCTTCCCTTGACATTTTTACTGTGATAAGTGTTAGGATACTCTACTATGACCTGTAAAGTTCCTGTCCAGTTGAAAATTTGTTTTTTGGGGTTATCTTACCTATATTTTGTAGTGAGGTCAGCTTCCTAACAATAGAGGATCATTTAGTGTTGAAGTACCTTCAATTGAGTTAAAAGACAGTGGTGACACCCAACTTGAACCAGCTAATCCTCTGGAGCCATTATGTTTGCCAGCCCAGGTGAAGCCCTTGTGATAAATTCATTGCCACCACTTGAGCAGTCCAACCCTTCTTCCTTTTATCCATTTATAAGCTCCATCAGGATCTTTTTTTCTTTAATTTTGTATAAATTTTTACACTCAAACATTCCTTGCTTTGCTTTCTCTGTTTGTCCAGTTTAAACTGCTTTCTCTACTCACATAGGAGCCCAATAATTTATGTCTCTTTTCCACCTTCCTATCCTCATCTATTATTCTTAAGAGTTTTGCCTTGAAATCCCCTTTCCTCTAAGTTCAGCAACAAAAATAACAGTACTAGTTGATTATGTTTTAACAAGTGGGGAAGAACTAGGAATCTCTACAGAATAATAATTCACGGTGGTTGTCTTAAAAACAGGTATAAGACTTTTACTCTTGCTTTCATTCTGTTCAGAAGGATATCAGTCTAGAGTTTTATCCCACCATCTGGAAGTGACTGAATCAGAAGACTATGTTTAAATATTTGCAACTTTTTTTGGTTTAAGAAACTAAGGCTTGACTCCAAGCTTTGTTTTGGTGTAGATTTAGAAGTGTATAGAGAGGGATGGGTGTTCGATCATTGTATAACTGAAACCCAAGCACAAAAATTTGTAAGTCTACAACTGTACCTCATGGAGTTTCACTAATAAAAATTAAAAAAAAAGAAGTGTGTAGAGGGCCATGATACATATCCATTAATAAAATTTTATTGACTACAACTATGGGTTATACTGTACTTTATTCTTTCAACATTATGCTTTTTTACTTCTAGTTAAAATTCCACTGGCTTAAGTCTGGCTTAACTCTCCAGCTTGATCAACTAACTAAAATGTAGACACCATTCACAACCCTGTATTTAAACATGATTCAAAAATCATAAATAGAAAATGAGAGCTGGATTTTGCAAGACAAGATTTGATGCTGTGAAGAAACTCTCTAAAAAATGTGCCTGAGACCTTGTGGGTTTAAAATATCCTCCATTTCCTCCCCGCCAGATTTGGCAGCTTGAGAACTATTCATTACAAATAATGACAAATATTTTACCAACTCACAAAATGTTGCTTTTTCGTTGCTATTAATTTTGTTTGTTTAAATCTTTAACTTGCAAAGCCAATACAGTAACATAATAGTCAGCCAGTAAATCTCAGGAAAAGGATTACCCCTTTAAGCAAATACCTCCTGAAAACTTCACTAAATGTTTCTGGCAGTAAAATTATGAATTGTTCTTGCTGTTTGACCACAAGGCATAAAATAACTAAGGGACTGTAATACAGCCTGTGTCATAGAAAACTTAGTGAAAAGCTCTCAGCAATGAGAATTGGTGTGGGATTTGCTAACTCAGTCAAAACGGTTTAGTAAAGAAAGTAGAATATGAGCTTTCATGACTAGCCAGATATGACTACATGAGATTTTGGGGGTCAAGGGATCTGAAACCTTATGGACAAAGTCTCAGATATAGTATAGTAGGGAGTCTAAGAACTACTGTCAGATTTCAATTTTATTAAAATTAAAAGGAGCAGTTAGAACCAAACTCACTGGATCTGAAATCCAAGATTAAATTTTGCTAGGGAGTAGGAAATACTTTATTCATAATCCCAGTCTCGGAACAACTCTAGAGCTATGTTTTACGATAATCTGCTTTTAGCTCAGAAAGTAAAAGAAGGTAATCTGGAAAACTAATTAGTTTATTAAAACGGTCCAGTAAGAGTTAAGAGCCAGGGAAATGGCTTGAGTGATAAAGCACATGCCTTGCTCATCTAAGGCTCTGGGTTTTATTCCTGAGAATGGCCTGCATTATCCCTGACCTGAGCTCAATTAGATATGGCCCGTATAATAAAAGCAGTAGCAGCAACTACAATTTGAAAGAGTTAATAAGAGCAGCTCTGGGCAGGGAAGACAAGATTTGAATAGAGTGGTAGGTATATAGTGAAAATTTCTAAAATTTCGAACCTAAGCAGGAGGTGAGAAGTGGAAAAAAATAAAGGCACTGAAGAATCAAGCAAGAATCAAGCAAGAATAAAATGTACTGACACCATTTTAAAAGGCAGAGAAATCTCGTGGTAGAACTGGTAGGTGGTGGAAGATGAGTTCCACTTTGCTAGCAGTTTATGAATGCATGTGTTTTCCCCAGTGGGGAGTTAGAAATGTGAAATTGAAACTCAGGCCATAATTGTAAATATAAACTTGGGGCTCATTAGTATAGAGGGAATGGCAAAAGGTATAGGAGTTGCTGTGAATGCCTGGGAGATTGTGAGAGAAGCTGCCTTCAGGCAGAACTCTAGAGGAAAATTGGTCTACTTTTAGATGAAGGAAGATGGGCCAACAAGGAAATAATGTGCTCAGGGAAGAACCAAGAAGAAGCAATATCATAAGCGACCAGCCAAGAGAGAGTTACAAGAAAGGAGGAATCAGTAATAAGGAATATGAGAATTGAGGGAATGAAATTAAATGTAGTGGTTAAGAGTTCATTGGTGACTTCCACAAGAACAATCTTAGAATCAGGAGTTGCTAGAATTCATTCTCTCATTTTGACCTAATGCATTTACTGCAGCAGGTAGGACGTTTGCCTTGCACATGGCTGACCCAGGTTCTATTCCTCCGTCCCTCTCGGTGAGCCTGGCAAGCTACCGAGAGTATCCTGCCTGCACAGCAGAGCCTGGCAATTCGATATGCCAAAAACAGTAACAACAAGTCTCACAATGGAGACGACCTTACTGGTGCCTGCTTGAGCAAATTGATGAACAACCGGAGGACAGTGCTACAGAGCAGTGCTACATTTACTGGACCCCCCCCCCCCCATTTATTTAAAATAGCAGATAATGCAGGACAGTGTGTGTATGTGTGTGTGTGTGTGTGTGTGTGTAGAAAAATATTTATCATGATCAGAGCACAAAATTATCTAATTATCATGTATCTTGAACTCCTATTTCATTAACAAAAAAGTAGATATGGTATATGATGGAAGGTGAGTTCCATTTTGCTAGTAGCTTCTGAGTGTCTATGTTTCCACCATTGGAGAGTCAGATATGTGAAAGTGGAACAATTAAAGAGCGTTCCTTTTGTTAATGAGTAAAACTGTCTCTAGAATTTTTTATTAGTCAATATATAACACTTATACCTTGATATTATTCTGCCTTATTATGTAAAATGATGGCAACAACTGTATAAACAATTATGAGTTGATGTGTCTAACACTAAATTTAATTTTCATCACCATGTTTTTCCTTCATTTCAGAATAAAAGATTGAACTATGATAGCAACTGGTGGAGTGATAACCGGCTTAGCCGCCCTGAAAAGGCAGGACTCTGCCAGATCGCAACAGCATGTCAATATCTGCCCATCACCCACAGCCCAAGAGAAGAAACCAGTCAGGCGTCGACCTAGGGCCGATGTAGTTGTTGTTCGAGGCAAAATCCGACTTTATTCTCCATCGGGATTTTTTCTCATTTTAGGAGTGCTTATCTCCATTGTAGGAATTGCCATGGCAGTCCTAGGATATTGGCCCCAAAAAGAACATTTTATCGATGCCGAGACAACATTGTCAACGAATGAAACTCAAGTCATTAGAAACCAAGGTGGTGTTGTGGTTCGCTTCTTTGAGCAACATTTGCATTCTGATAAAATGAAAATGCTTGGCCCTTTCACCATGGGAATTGGTATTTTCATTTTCATCTGTGCTAATGCCATTCTTCATGAGAACCGTGACAGAGAAACCAAAATCATACACATGAGGGACATCTATTCTACCGTCATAGACATCCATGCATTAAGAATCAAGGAGCAAAAGCATATGAATGGCATCTACACTGGTTTGATGGGAGAAACAGAAGTAAAACAGAATGGGAGCTCCTGTGCTTCCAAATTGGCTGCAAATAGCATTGCCTCTTTCTCAGGTTTTAGGAGCAGTTTCCGGATGGACAGTTCTGTTGAGGAAGATGAGCTTGCTCTAAATGAAAATAATAAGACTTTGGGGCATCTCATGCCCCCTTTGCTGTCTGACAGCTCTGTCTCTGTCTTTGGCCTCTACACACCTCCTTCCAAGACTGTGGATGATAAGAACAGTGGCCCCAAGAAATGTGAAACCAAGTCCATTGTGTCATCATCCATCAGTGCTTTTACTTTGCCCGTAATCAAACTTAATAACTGTGTCATTGATGAGCCCAGCATAGATAACATCACTGAGGATGCTGATAATTTCAAAAGCAGGTCAAGGAATTTGTCTGTGGATTCTCTCCCATTGCCTAATACCGGTGAATCCTTCCAGGCAGTGAATTCCCTACTCCCTCGGAATCATTCTGTTGGAGAGTCATTGTCAAGCCAGTATAAGTCCTCTGTGGCCCTTGGGCCTGGATCTGGGCAGCTCTTGTCTCCTGGGGCTGCCCGAAGACAGTTTGGCTCCAACACATCCTTGCATTTGCTCTCATCACACTCTAAATCTCTAGATTTAGACCGAGGACCCTCGACCCTAACTGTTCAGTCAGAGCAACGGAAACATCCAAGTTGGCCTCGTTTGGATCGAAGCAACAGCAAAGGATATATGAAACTAGAGAATAAAGAAGACCCAATGGAGAGGTTGCTTGTGCCCCAAGCTGTAATCAAAAAGGACTTTACCAATAAGGAGAAACTTCTTATGATTTCAAGATCTCACAATAATTTGAGTTTTGAACATGATGAATTTTTGAGTAATAATCTAAAGCGGGGAACATCTGAAACAAGATTTTAATGATTAAAATATATAATTTTGCAGACTATATATTTTTAAACTATTTTTACCATTGTTTCCTTGATAACGCTTTAGTCGTAAACCTTCAAAATGAAATGGTGTGTCGTGTACTAGAAGTGGCTGCTTAATTCTGTAACTGAGATGGTTTTAAGTTTGGGTTACTTATTATTATGATACTCTGTATTGTCACACATGAGATTACTTTTTCCAGTCCTTTGAAGCATGGTCTCTTTAATTAATATAAATATAAATTGCTTCCATTTGAATTAAAGCTCATTTCCTTTACTTTTATATTTGTTGACTGGTGGTCATATTCATAGAATAAAGTGTTCAGTTTGGAAAAGGTAGGATACCAAAGTGAAGGAATGAAGTCCTAGATTTGGATCTGAGACTCAACATGTAGTTACAAGCTACAAATGAATGTACATAAAAAAATTTTAGCTGTGTTCTTCTGAATAATTCCCATATGTAGATTTGGTTGAATTATTTAAAAGGAAGCTATCTATCTACCTTCTGTGTGAACTAAATAATGTGAATTGGTTAAATTGGTTTAGTTCTGTATGAGCTAATTAACATGAACTAGTTAAGTTCATTGTGAGCACTAGGTAGGTAGTACTTTTTCAAAATCACTTTTATTTTCATGAATTTTCGTCAAGAAACCATGTATTCCAGAACCATGGCTAAGAATGCCAGATATTCTTAGAGGTAAATATTAAAAATACTATTAACTATTACTTTAGATATTCAGAATTAAAATTTCTTCATAACTGACTTGAAATTTAAAGAATCAATATAGTTTTAGATATTTTATCTTGAAGTATTTATATACATAAAGAACTGTTGGCCAATGAATACAGTATGTGCTAGTTACCTTAGTTTCAGATTTTTTTCTAGCTATCTCTACTATCATCCAATAGACCCTCATTCACACATTTTTGTTTTCCCAAAATCTTTTTAAATTATGATATTAGGTGAAAAATCAGCTAAATTTGTTATTTCTTATTATCTTTACATATCACTAACTTTGAGTTGGAAAAAATTGGTTGTTGATAAATTACCTTGAAATTTACTTTGTGCTGAAAGGCCTTATGATGATTCCAAAGACATTCTATGAGGTAACCAATTTTTAGGATTGTGGTTCTCAGTTACTGCAGAGAAAAATAACGTTAAAAAATGTTTCCATCAGAAAATTTTTATGTTTTTCATTAATGTAGAGACTTTTAAAAATAGTTTAATTGCATACTCAGGAAATTTTATAGTTTTTCTCCCGATATCTAAATATTTCTGAATTGTCAATGTTGTAGATGTTGAGGACAAGTAAAAGGAAGAAATTCTGTATTTGTAGAACTCCATGATGTACTTTGTACTGATATACTGGGCTGACCTGTATTTAAGCACAGTGTTACTTGATAGAACATCAACCTGTGTATTATAATAGAGTAAGCTCAGTATCTTACTATGAATTACTTAATAAACTTATGTTCTTAATAGAAGTTCATGTTCATACATTTTTAGTATTTTTAAATAAAATTTATGTTTTTGTTTTAAGTATTGTTTATTACATTTTCAGATGCATTCTACTAAAGTTGATCCATACCCTTATATATATCCTTGGTGCTATAACATTTTATGTGTGTTGCTATTAGTTTAAAAAGCTAGATTCACCCACCTGCTGAATTAGGTTATTTTCCTATTTGGCCTGCTGGGTTATTTTATATGTAAATTTAGCTGGGCAAAGGGGTGTCAATTTGAAGGAAGTATTTGTGGGAATAGCTGCAGATGATATTAGCAATAGATACCATAAACTGAATGGAGATCATTGTCAGTAAAAAGGTGGACATCATAAAAAAGGAATGGACTTAAAAAGACAGAGAATCAATGGTTCTCTATCTGCTTAAGCTGGGAATCTATCTCTGCCTTCTGATATTGGAGCCATTAGATTCTCAGGTCTTAGAACTCAGCCTGAGACCTACCATTGGTCACCTTGGTTTTCCTAGTTCTTAATTGTCCCTCTAAAGTGGCCTGGAGCTTCTCTACTCCTGAGTCATTCTAAGGCTAGCGATGGAAGATGATGGAAGATCATGGGACTCAATGTCTCTCTGTCTCTGTCTCCCTCCTTCCCTCTCTCTTCCTCTCCCTCTCCTTCTACCTCTCACTTCAAATCATTTTTATTTACTGTGATAACAATAACTACATATATATCATCTAGAAAATCTTCCTACTGCTTCCAAAAATCAAAACAGTAGTTCTCAACATCCCTGATGTGAAAAAGAACTGGAATCATATAATTTTCTCAGTTCACTCCTGAGAGTGTTCTACCAGTTTGACGAGGATATAACAGCATGAGTCTTGGAAGATCTAAAGTAAATGTTGTCTCAAACCAATGAAAATTTTGTCTATCAAATAGTCCAAGTTTTTGGTAGATCAAAAATACATTTCAATCAGTGCTAATATCCTCATTTTAAATTCATCAAAAACTTTCTGCTAATTAAAGCGTTAGAAGAATGAGAGATAGTTAACATAATCATATTGACTGGTTCTAATTATACCCCAAAGCAATGACATTTATAATTTTATGTAAGATATTATTTTATATATTTCATGAGGCTTTTATAAATATTGAAAATTACATATAAGCTCTGTTTCTACCTGTGGGAAATCCATGAATCTTTACCATGAGCTGACTGTCTCAAACTCAGAGTTCTAAGGATATATTGGTTTGCTCTTGTTGCCAGGTGGCTGAAGCAATCAAATTGTTAAAAGAGCTTTGTAGTTTTTTATATTTAAATAATTGATTATAATTTAGGTGCTATGGATACAATAGTGTTAAAGTTTATAGTATTGATGCACAAAGTTACTGTACATATTGTTGCCAAAGTTCCATGACCTTCCATCACTCTTTCTGTGAACAATAGAGCTATTTTTTCCCCACAGGCTCAAAGTTCAAGAAAAGTATGTTTGATTTCTCTTAAGATACAGTATATCTTGAATGGCAGAAGACCACTGAATTCTTACTGTATCCTCACTGTGACCTCATATAATCTTTCTTTTGTGTGTACCCCTTATGGTCTTTTTCTCTCTCACAAGGACACCAGTGATACTAGAATAGAGACCTTTCCAAAAGATACTGTTTCCCCTCAGTCCATCCTACTTCCAATATAGTTACAATATATGGTACTGGAGTTAGTACTTCAGCATGAAAATTGGGGGAAGATGCAGTTTAGCCTACAGTGTGGGATGTGTCCATGAGAAGTGGGAAAGATGAATGTTCATAGTTACAGTAGGTAAGAAGTACACTAAATGCATGAATGGCTTTGCTACCTTAGCTCTGTATCCTTGAGTAGCACTGTAGCACTGTCCTCCTGTTGTTCATCGATTTCCTCGAGCAGGCAGCAGTAATGTCTCTATTGTGAGACATATTGTACTATTTTTGGCATATCAGATTCGTCACGGGTAGCTTGCCAGACTTTGCTGTGTGAGCCGGATACTCTTGGTAGCTTGCCGGGCTCTCGGAGAGGGGCGGAGGAATTGAACTCGGGTTGACTTAATTAACTCTAGTTTAATTAATTTCTTGATTTTCGTTGAGCCTCATATTTATCAATTGGGAAGTGAAATGAATAAGAATGTTAAATACAAAAACACTAAAGTCCGGGGGTTCTTGGTACCCTGGGATGAAGATGCATTGCTTATCATTCTCTTTGGGGCACTCTCCTACTCAACTGAGAAGCAAGAACTGAAGTAGAGAAGGGTGGATGGGTTTACAGATGTTAGAACCAGACTACCAGGTTCAAATAGTGACTGCTACTGTCAAGTGACCTTGAGCTTGTGCACTGGCCCCTCAGAGGTGCTGGGAATAGCTGGGGCAAGGTCAGCTATGTATACTGAACCCAGCCTGCCTCCTCATTGCTATAGACTGACCAAGTTACACATGGAAGGTCAAGGCTACTGCCTTGTTGGGCACTTTAAGATATATGTGCTTTTAGTCTCTGAAAATATCACCTAAAAGCTTTCCAACCTTCACCCTTATCCCACCCCACTACACACCATTTCCCCTGTGGTAAATGACTTTTCTTTCATATTTTCTAAACATTCTTGCATCAAAATGGTTAGATCCTGTGAGTGTCACAATATATGATGAAATAAACTTTTGACCCTAAGTTAAGGATTGTGAGATGTGGCAGACCACTCCCAGTTATTAGATGGGACTGTTTGAATTTAGAGACATTGTTTTTAGAGTCTGTATTGAAACCTGACCTGTTTGATGCACAAATTAAGAACACATAACATAAAAATCAAGAATTTAGGACATAGAACTGACACCCAATGTAAAATACAAGGTAGTGCTAGAATAAGAACTTGAAACCAGATATAATGATACCCAGTATATTCATCAATTAGAATCAAATCAGAGATAGATATTTTATAAAATAGCAAATAGCATAACTTAAAAAATGATGGATAGATTTTGAGTTTATTAGAGCACAAGGAAAAATATCTAACTTTTAGGTAGAAAGTATAGTATTGAAACTTTAATCACTGGTGAGTATAATGTGGGAAAAAGAAAAATGATAATTGGGCAGATTAGAGAAGTAGACCCTCCCGTTGATCGTCGATTTGCTCGAGCGGGCCCAGTAACGTCTCCATTGGAGACTTTGTTGTTACTGTGTCTGGCATATCGAATACTCTCGGTAGCTTGCCGGGCTCTCCGAGAGGGGCGGAGGAATCGAACTCGGGTCGGCCATGTTGACAGTTTAGAATGGAAATTTTTGGTATTTTATGCATTGATCTCCTGTGTTTCACTATGTTAATTATGTAAGTCTGCCATGAAAATTATACCATTTTGCCCTTGTGAGCCATTATGTTATGCTTTAACCAAATCTATAGAAAAAAAAAGAAGTGAGTCATTTGCATCCATATTCATTAATCCTCATATACTGGGTGGAAGGTAGGAAGATGATGAGAAGTATAGAATTTGGAGATAGAGACAGCAGAGAATGCCATATGTTTTTCATCTTTATTGAAAATGCATGCATAGCAAAAGGCTTTGCATTTAAACTTTATTTTGGTATAGAGCCAAGTTTATAATTTTTAATCACTGAAACAGTGAGACAATATTCTTATTTGAATTTAAAATATATTTTAGTAGGCATTAACACTGTTTATCATACAGCTCATTTGAATCAGTCACCTAAGGGTATATAATTAATCATTAATTTGAAGTTGTTGAGTAATGAGTCATCAATAGCTCAAAGCTGTTCAGTGATTATTACTTTTTAATGTAATTATTTTTG